ATAACATAGAATTTGCATATCATGAGGTCGATCTATGTCTCGCGTCTTTTTGTTTTTCTAGTTGTCAATTTATACAATCTTTTCAAAGTCAATAAATTTTTTCCTTCAAAAAACTACGTCGTTTTCTTTGATTTATATGTACTGTGAGTGTTGACCATTATTTTGTTACGCGGCAGCGTGTAGAGCATTGAAAGATGCCGCTCGAAGGACCACTTTATTAAAAAACTTATTTCGAAGGAAAACTTATTTTTTATTGACTTTGAAAAAAGATAAGTAAATTGACTAGAAAAACAAAAAGATGCGAGATATAGTTCGACCTTATGATATGCAAAGTCTATGTTACATATTCTTTTAAAAATAACATTGTAATCTCGCGTAGTTAACAATAACTAAAATGGATAGTATGTGATAAGCGTGTTATAGCTCGAATTTGTGTTTTAAGAATCTGTTGAACACGGAAAGTTACGGTGACATGCCAATTGATGGAGCTTTTGTATTTTTTTTAGATTGAAAATGACTGCATATTTCAAGTGCGATTTTTTTTAATTGTCCTTGTTCAATATGGATTTAGTTTGTTTCCATTTTCGCAACACCATTGTTTGTTTATATCTAAGTATAATCCATTTACCATCTGCATCAAAAATGTCGAGCCACTATTCAATTCCGACTTTAAAAAGTATTTTGAAAATAGAAATAAATAAATTCTATTGTTGAATAACAACACTAAGATTGTCGAAATAAAATAAATTTGATACAGTGATTACTCGTCTGATTTAATTTTTCTTAACCCGCGCACACAAGTTGTTCAATCGTCTTTACTTTTTTTTTATATTTTAGCTTAGTTCTTCTCATATATTGTTTTAAAATTATCAACTATATCTTACAACCTTCATGAGTATGTCCTTCTGAACCTATCTCCTTCTAAATTTTTCAAAATATTTTCATGAGAACCTTTTCATAGATAGAAGAATTTAAACTCATCAAAAAAGTACACTAACCAATTTGATAGGTAAGCTAAACGAAATAATGAGATATTTTTTACTGTTTCTGTAATATTCACAATTCAAAATCCATGTTCATACCGAATCCGGCACTGTCTCGTAGTATTTGATTAAACGTTAGATTCGGATAGTCTGAGGACACCGCAATACTGCAACCATGATAAGGGTCCTAGAGAGCTTTTAATACACTCCAGTGCTCTGTGCTCTATCGATATACGAGTATCTGCCATTGAGTTGCTTGAATTCCTCCGAGTGACTGTTATTTCGTATTGTTTGCGGTTGATAGTTTTCAGCTGAGAATAAAAGTGCCAAGTTATATCGAAATACCATGGACTTAAAGTAGTTTTTAATTTATATATCTGGACATCAAGATAATTCATATATCTTTTTATTTTAATAATATTTTGTATACTCATAATGTACTCGTACATAAAAAAGGGCCAAATTGGTTACCTTAAGGAATCAGTTAAGAGTTGTTTACGACTAGAGTGGGTTGTTTAAAAAAATAAACTAGTAACAAATGAAATGTTAGATACAAATACAATTTTTTATGTGATCCAATCGGAATCCACGAAAAGATTAAATGAAGATGACAATTAAGAAGCCAATTTTAGTTACCGATTCGGAGTTAATGTCTTGGAATCTTAGTATCATTATGTCCAATTAAGGCAGGATAACGACAAGAAATGGGACAACTTCAGTCATAATTTATTTAACTGTTTATGTAAAATTAACGAACAAATCTTTGTCGTATATCATTTTGCTTTATTATAGTTGGATAATTTATGTATTTTATTTTGTTTCTTGTACGATATTACTTACTAATCCGCCAATTTGTTTCGGTAATATAAAGTATCACACGGATTCTAAGAGACATTCGTAAGCGTAATTGAAAATAAGTTGAAATTCTAGTCTTTTAAAATTTTAAAGTCTTATTATTTTTCGTAACTCGCTTAAATTATTGCTTATGTCACACGCATATAATGTAGCTTCCCATAAGTGAAATAATTCTTAAAATTGATCTTGTAGTTACGGAGCCTATTCAATGCAACATACAAACAGTGAAAGTTTTCCTCTTTATAATATTAGCAAAGATATTCGTAATACTTTGAAAATAACTGAATATCTTAATAGTAGATATATACTGTTGAAATGAGTTTAGCAAATCGTATAGATGTAGAAATGAGATGACATTGATTTTTTTCCAGTATTATATTAATGAGAGTTTTGTGAATAAACGAAGACAAAATTCTTATATCTATCAAAGTAAAATGAAGTATTATTCGAAAATAAGACACTCTCTCGAAGGCTTTATACAATGTTAAACATCTATAACATTTTAAAAGAGAAAAGGACCTAAAATGGAACCTTTGGGAACGTCAGTTTTACATGAGAAAGTTATTTATATTCTGTTGATATTTTCTATATTTAACCACGAGCAAATGAAGGGGAAACGAGGAGCAGGATTATACGTCCAGGGTGAGAAGCTGAATATTTGCTAGGTTTGGGGACTCCGATATTTTTATTTATTTCCAAGACTATTTGACTGGTCCTTAATTCTTTTGATGTTATCGTAATAATGGCATCTGAGTAGCATTTCAATGTCAGTGTTTTGTTTCTGTGTCTAACGATATTATTATTATAATGGCGTTTTGATAATTCTATGGTTTAAAAAATTATGACGTTCACGTAAGTAAGGTGCATTTTAATATGGAATGCGAATCGAATAGATGTGATTATTAGATAAAATAATATATAAATAAGTTTAGTATACAAGTTTATTCCTTCGTTTGTATTTGATGAACATTCTGTAAGTTCGCTTTTGAATGAATATATGTTTGAAATACGGGTGCAATCTTTGAACCTTTGCTAAGTCTCTGTTTAATAATATGAATTTTGACTAATACTAAGTACAGTCTCAGCGTAAATTTACTCCAACGCTAAACCTTCTTTATTAATTCAAAAAATCGGAAAGATTGTTTAGTCTACTCGGAAGTTGATTTGATAATTATTTATGAAAACTAACATTGGGATCTTATACTCTAAAATATTATTAAAATGGGTATCGTCAAAATCATTAACAATATCATTTTACATAAAGTGTTGAACTCAATATATCACTATATTATTGCAAAATCTTTTATATACGAAAATATTGACAAACAAAGAAATGCAACCAGGTTTTTAAAGAAAGATTTCTTACTACTTTTACTATTGAAATCTTTAATAAACTCATATACAATTACATTTAAGAGGGTGTATATGCTAAAGCATCTAACTTTCAATTAGTTTTGTATAATTAAAAATTATAAAATAAAATCATATTTTTAATCTGCCACATCCAAAACGTGAATTTATAAAATTTTCTAAGTAACATATTTTAATAAATCAGTCTCACGAAATAAAACACAAAATATTACATTTTGATAATTATAAAAAAAAAATTGTTGCAAAATAACTTCACTCGATTCAAATTTCTTTGAAAACCATATCGATTAGTTAAATGAATCGAACATTTTAAGAAGGAAGCCTTACTATCAAGTTCAGATTAATAGATATCAAATGTGACTTTCTATAATGATCCAACTGTAGTTAATTTTGTTTTCCTTGTGTTTTTTTTCTATTTATTATTATTTCTATTCTTTTATTTTCTATTTTGTAACTGTTAATTTTGTTTGGTTTGTACGTGGTGTCACTGCTGGCTCTGCTAACCTCTTGTAATGAGCTGAGGATAGCTTTGACAACACACAGTATGGCACAGAGTATTGTGTTGTTTTTCTTTCTCATGTCCATTTTAAATTGTACATTGTGTACGTTATGTGTGTTGTTAAATACTTCTACTATATTTTACTCAAAAAACGAATTTCCGGTATGACGTCAACATTATCGACATTAAAAAGACATAATATATGTTAAAAATACACTTAATTGTTTTTCAATTAGTAACACTGCGATCATTAAGGGTATTTTGAAAATTTACAAATTTAAAATAATAATTGGCAATAATAATATTAATAATAGGTATGATATAAGAGCAGTTCATAATGTAAAGAGTACATTCGCAGTTTAATAAATTGACGTCGCTACGTACAAGAGCGGAGCTAGAGTAAGTAATACGGTAGAAATGTAGTTCAGAGTTTCCGTGTAACATGACAAGTGCATTACACAATGCAGTTTCCCGTACATTAGACGGTGGATGGTAAATACACGTCTGCACTTGTATTCACTATGTAGAACTTACTAAGTTATTCGTTTAGGTTGTATGTGATAGTATTAATCTGCACTGGCTTCATACGAGTGGCACTATATACGACCTCCGTAGCCGAGTAGTGTTAATGCTGGCCTGAAAGTGTCGCCAACTCAAATATCCCGGCTATATTCTTAGTCGTGTCATTGTAGAAAATGGACTTTTCTATATTGTCTCAATCTGATTGTTGTCGTCCTTTCGTTTTCTCAAATACTCTATAATACGAGCGCTGTAGCTATAAATCTTGGAGCAAGCCCCAGTTGATTTTTCTATTATCTACTTCAGGGAGTCTATATTAAAAATATTGAATTTAAAACTACCTTTTAAATGTATATATCATTCATTGATTTCGATGGGAATTTCTGTTATAAACAGCACTAGTGATTAATAGACTATTAAAAAAGTGTAATTCCGCATTTATATTGGTCGCTTATGTCTGTATGCGCAGTTTTTGAAGGTCAATAAACGTATGACAATGATTTATAAATATATTCAGGTTTCTAGCCAAGTTCTTCATAACATTTCGTAAAAATTATATGGAGATGAAGACACCGGTCGGCCATAGTTTTATTGCCGTAATGTAATTGTAATATCAAATAGATAAAGACTACGTTTTGTTTTTATGAGAACATCTCAAATTACTAAAGCTACGTGAAGAATATTCTACTAACTGTGCTATTGCAATTTTGGTTTCATAGGGATTTCCTTTTTAAATTATCTTTAAGAAACAGGCTCGTATGCTAATATCAATCGTTTTTATTTTTTCTTATCCTATTGTTGGCACGCCTTTTACTAGTCAAGCCGTTTTATTTTAGTCTACGGAAATCGGAAAAACGTTCAGTAAACAGACGTCAGTATAAGTATTTATATTCTTCGACATTCGGAAATGCTAATACGCCTTTTTCTCTTTCGCAGATGATCCGCATCGTTGACTTGGAGTCTTGGCGAACAAAAAAGTAACCAACGATGTATTGCCGATACAACTTGTGAAATCGATCATGGACAAAAACAAGAAAAAAAATCACACCAATGGAAAATATAAGAAAAATGGAAAAACGGAAAATTATAAAGTAGATGATGACATTGTAACAACATGTTGTTTCTGCGTCAGAACCAAAAAGAGCAAAAAGAAAACCCTTGTAGCGGGATGTATCACAAATCTTGGTATTTTTGTTCTGCTGATTGCATATACTCTAGTTGGTGCTTTCATATTCTTGGCTATCGAAGGTAGTGCAGCTAAAATACACCAGAAGACTCTAGCAACTACATCTTATCAGGCAAACGATAGTCCGAAAGTGCCCAGCGCTAAACTAAATGGTAGCATTTCTCAGGCTAGTGCGGAGCTACGATCGCAAACAGTTGAAAGTATTTGGGAGATAACTGTATCTCTAAACATACTGTACAAAGAAAACTGGACAAGATTAGCTGCTCAAGAGATAGCTCGGTTTCAAGAGAAATTAGTAGCGCGTGTGGCAGCTGATGTATCAGCTCAATATGGAGGAGCTAGAGCTTTAGAGTCTGCACCAGCGTTAGTAGTCGATGATTATGAATGGAACTTTGCTAAAGCTTTTCTTTACTCTCTCACCGTTCTAACAACTATAGGTAAATTTTACAAAAAATTCATATAGTATGGTTAGATTTCTCATATTTTATATTAACACATTCGTTACTTTTCTTGCAGGATATGGGAGTGTAGCTCCAAAAACAGCACTAGGAAAGGCAGTTACTATTGGATATGCAGTCATAGGAATCCCATTAACACTTCTATACCTTTCAGTTGTAGGAGCATTATTATCAAGGCTTGCCAGAAGTGTATTCAGTAAAGCACTATGTTGCTGCTTATGTACAAAATGCGGGTATTGCTGTCTCGACGAAAGGACAATGGCTAGTAAAGAAAGAAAAGAAAAAGTGAGGAGACATGATGACTACAGAAATCAAACTCTGCACTTGCAAGAACCATACTATGTTCGATCGCCATCGGGAACTATAATATCAGCATCCCAAGCACACAGCGTCAGTACAAATTCTATGAAAGATAAAACTCCTGGGCTTGGCTTTCTTAGAGACTGCGATTCAATGAGTTGCACAGACACAGATTCGAAGATATCACTACGAGGTTTCTCAATCCTAGCCCCAGTTTGTCTTTGTCTTGGCGCTATATTCACATATATCTTTTTTGGTGCGCTGGTTTTGTATCAGCTCGAGGGTTGGAGTCCAATAGATGGTGTTTATTTCTGCTTCATGAGTCTCAGCACAATAGGTTTTGGTCATTTAGCTCCTGGCGCTACTCAAAAAAATGGTGCGTCTACAGGTACCGTATGGTTTTGCTCAATTTATATAATGACCGGGCTCGCTTTGACTGCTATGTGTTTCAACGTTCTACACGATGAGATCGTTCACCGTTTAAGGCATCACGAGAAGGGGATGAAGATGAATACTCAAAAGGTGCTGACGTCAGAATTCCTTCACCGGTCTTGACGTGACGATAGTGGAAATATGACCGACGAGACGATCTTAAATTCTGAAGGCGACTCTTTACCAGAAGTTTTGAATCACGTTTCTGGTTCGAGGTGTGATGGCGGTGCTATACGACGTTCCGTTTACACACTCAGAGAAGAGAAGGAACCAGAAAGGATGACACCTATGTAATGATCCTACGCATTTTGATAATTAGATGTTCTGAGAATAATCGATTTGTTATATTTATTGTGTTTTTAGATATTTATATTTCAATTCATTTATCAATGAGATGAAATTGAATAACATAAGTAGTGCAACGGAATTTATCATACGGTTTTGGTTTTAAACCAAATAAATATTTAAATGAGAATTTCCTTCTTGGCGATGTCCATGGAAATGTATTATTTCGTTGAGATGTAGATAAATAGTGTTGATATTAAAAACAAGAATCATAAGAAAAAACCCTAAGAAGTAATGAAATGACTGACCATATTTGTTAATTATTTTAAATAGTTTAAGCAATACCTTCATAAGAAACCCTTAGAGTGTAATGTTTAGCAACTATCACTAGTAAAAAGAGCTATTTTAATAATTGTTTTCTAGTTCAAAGGCAACTTAGGATATGTATGAAAATAAACAGTAGTTAGATCCTAGTGTACTATAGTTTTACAAGACAACTATGTGCCATATCCAGAACTAGCGCTTATAAATTTTCTATAAATGAATCGTTTGCAGTTTTGAAATCGCTTCTGCATTCGCGGTGAATACACTACTTTTGGACAAGGTTTTAAAGTATGTACTATCAATTACTGAAATAATTTTTATTAACTTCGATAATATACAAGATCAAAGGATGATTTGATTGCAGAAAATGGTATAATTATTACTTATTTGATGTGTGTGCGTGTATATTTAAAAAGTTTCTATAGTGATTTATGTTATTTTTTTTTTAACAGTAATATGTACTGTGAAAACAATTATTAAACTAGTGGCGTGTATAAATAAAATATGATAATTATCGTAATGAAACATTACATTTGAATGAATTAAAATTAAAGTTTGCGTTTTATTTTAAGAAATTTAGTTAAGTCGAAATATTTGACTACATACGTGTATGTTTTTGGTATATTTATAAATGTCAAAAAAAAAAAACTAATGATAATACAGAGGTAGAATGAATACTAAAAATTTAAAATTTGAAAAACATTCGTAACAAGTGAAATTAATTAAGTTATCGTGTACTTATAATTTATTTAATGAGACTAGGTTCTGGTATGCCAAATTTAAATTGTGTACATAGAGTAATTAAAGTATTTACTATTACGTAAATATATCATGTACGAGAAAGAAGTTGTGCAACAACTCGATTTCGTAGTGCTCAACTTTACTTTTCATTAAATCGACGGTTGAAAGTCTAATTAAAGTAAGTGATTTATTTGAAAAATTCTGGTTCATTTACAGCCTCGATATCTTCTGAAATATTAAACAGCCCATTGGAGTAAGTAATAAATAAAAGATAATTTATAATGCTGAAACTTGAACTATTTTTTCATGATTTGTTATTATTTTTTAATAAATATATATATTTTTTAATAAAATTCTTTTAGGATATTAAAATTATTCTAAATTCTCGTTTTAATGAAAGAAGTAGATTTTTCTTTATGATTTAAGCTATATTTAAAAATTTTATGAGCACTTTTTTGGCGTTTGAAATTTATGTCAAATTCGATCTTAATTTCAACTTAATTCAATTAGCAATTCAATCGTCGAAATAAATTTGTTACAATACCGTTATGACATTGAAATAAAGAAGAACACACAGTGAGCACCTGGGTTTATGTTATAATGACTAATAATACGAATAGAAATATATAAAAGTTGGATATGTGACATCCAAACTTAATAATTGGTTGTGGCATATTTACACTGATCGATGACGTATTTTCTGTCCCTCGATTTATTGGTCATTGTTTTATCGACCAATGAGATGAGCGCTCAGCACTTTGTGTGCTGTGATAATCGCCCAGTATAAATGAGCCATAAGTATCACACGACAGCATATTATAAACGGCGCATTATAATTTTTGATTAAAAAAAATGATCTATTTCAAAAGTTCAAAATCTCAACATAGATTTCATAAGGTAAAATGCGCTGAAGTCGATGTATCATTTACACAACATTCAATTGTAATAAATTCAAAAAATGCCATTCGCGGAATTGTAACAGAGAATCTTTTTTAAATGGATCGTTATTAGATGTTGGTTCGTACCGAGTGTGAATTGTTACATCTGTTTTTTTTTTGATTTTGTAATGGTCTTAACCAATGTAAAGTAATATTAATTATAGAGTAATAAATGATTTTAAATAAACAATCCACTTGTTGTATTTTTTAGTCCCGGACGTAAGAAATGGGTTTGATATGGTTTGATAAAGGTTCTCTTCCACTGCCTCAGCACGCACGACACGCAACGCATTACACGGATTTGTCGATGTCATACGTGTACAGCAATCGTATTTTTCATGTATGCTTCTAGGAAAAATGTGACCGTCAGTTTTGACGTTGGAACTATGCTTATGACGTCATAGGATTTTTTTTTATAAAATCGTCGCGTGTCGTGCGGTCAATCAAATCTCGTGCTTTATAATTACCCATTAATATGTCAATAATGGGTAATTAAACTCAAAATCAAGTTTCTGCACCTGTTGGAAAAAGTTATAGGTCCGTGTCTGATGTCGCCCCGGGCCCTCGACGGGGTAGTCCACCATTACCAAAAAGGCAATTATTTCCAATGTTAGGTAAAATAAAGAGAAAAAACATTACTATAATTTACAGTAACAAGCAAAATTCTAAAATTTTGCACTGATTGAGTATTGAGTAACTAATTGAGTGAATGTTTAGTGGAAATAAAATTTGCTGATGCTGAACAATTTTTTTTTTAATTCAGTAGCTATTGTATTATAGAACTTTTTAAACATGACAGAAACAGACCTGAAATAAATATATATTTTTTTATATATTTATACGACCGGGAATTGAACCTGGGACCACTGATTGTTAGTAAACTATAACAGGAAATGGTAAATTTTTTGGTTTGAACCACTATTAGCTTCTCTTAGTAACACCATCGGTTATAATTACAGACAGAAAGGATCTGTGTGACAGATTATCGGATATCCGGCCTAGTTTCTATCGAATATCCGAATATGTGGCAGAAAATCGCTTTCTGGTAAATCTTTATGTATATATATTATCCACTATGCTGCAGGATATTAATTAATATACCAGTTACCGTATACTGGATAGTTAACGGAAATCCGTTTCATCTCTCCATTCCACTGTGCGATAACATCACAGCTGGATTGCACCATAAAAGCAATTAAAGTTAAGGTTTATGTCAAATTTGATAAATAACTGTCTGACTCACTTTAACATTGACCGTGGAATGCGTTGCACCATCCTCTTTCTTGGCATAGAAGCGAAGATTGGGTGGTTTTAATTAACAGTTAAAACCACCCAATTCTTTTCAAGCGCCTATCACTACTACCTATCACTTATAGTTAGAGTTATGACGTCTCCATTTTATTGCCAAATGATACAACTCATTATTTTCTTAGCCGGCACTTTAACATATTTATTATTGTTAAAGTAATTTGGTTCAACCAGCCCTAAGTCAGAAAAGCTTAAAAGCATAAAAGTAATTTTCCGACGTCAGATGCCTTTATTTACATAATTTGTAATAGTGGTAAAGTTAATCAGTTGATTCTAACAGAATTTTTAAAAGATCCTGATACTTTTCCAGCGCTCCGGAAATAATCCTGGGATTAAGGGTTAGCATTTTTCCTGCAGCCTGATTGCAATGGGGCAGTGAAATTCTGGCTAATACGACTCCGGACAATCGGGCTGTGTAGTCCAAATTAGGATTGCACTGGATTAGGAATGGAAACATACTGTCAGAAAGGAAGTAAAGAGAAAATTGAATTACTTTAATTTACTGATGTAATTAAGGCATACAATAATCATCTAATACGAATATCATAAAGAGATAATTTCTGGCTTTGTTTGTTAAGGGTAATAATACGGTCATGAAAATTGTTTCACTTACCGGAAGTTACATTATGCGCGGGTGATATAAGTTATAATTTACGTGGATTAAGTCACGGGAAAACCACTAGTTTTTATGTTTCTGCATTGAACAACTCTTGAGCGTATTTGTTTATGTGTAATTTAATGTTTTGTTACATTTAAGATAAGGTCAGGGTACAAGAATAAGACGAGGAAACAAGCTTTAACGGGGTTAATATTCGTGTATTTAATAATATTAAAATGTGTATGTTTTTTATACTCACACACATCAGCATCATCACCAATTTATTAATGTCCTTGCCGCCAAAAGAACAGACCTTCCCTATATATTGAATTGAATAAGAAGATAACCTACTTCGTGGACTCAGTGCGGATTGGTGGGTGTTAACTACTGCAAATGCACCCGAGACCAACATCATAACGCGCTTTTTGAAGCACGGAGGAAATCAAGATATAAGTCCCGTAAATAACTAATGTAAATAAAAAATAAACAAAAAATAAAAAATAACTAAGTAGCTCGGTGGCGTAGTGGATAAGCGCCGCGGCCCGCGATCGTAGTCGTTAAGCAACTTTCGCAAGGGTCGGTCACGGGATGGGTGACCAAAAAAATTATTATCTCGAGCTACTCCGTGCTTCGGAAGGCACGTTAAGCCGTTGGTCCCGGCTGCATTTGCAGTCGTTAATACCCTCCAATCCGCATTGGGCCAGCGTGGAGGGTCATGGCCCATCCTCCTTAACCATCCATAAGGAAGGCCTGAGCCCCTGCAGTGGGGACGTAAAAGGGCTGATGATGATGATGATGAAATAACTAATGTGACCAAAAAAAACCTGGTTTAAATAATATCCGCGTGAAGTCATATAAAAATAGAAAGTCTAGATAGCACAAAAGTCAAGAGATGAATAATTTATTAATTATTTAGATATTTATGACTGATCCGAAATATATTGTTATAATAATTAAATAACCTTTAGTTTGTTAATTTAATGCATTTGCATAATTTTTTGGAAAAGATTCAATTTATATGTAAAATTTGAGGTATTTGGAAAAAAAATATGTAAAAATAAAATTTACTTTGTAATAACGCGATAACAAACGGAAAGATTTTTTTTTAAATATAACTAAAAGTAATAATGACATTATATGTATTAATTATAGTGAAAATATGATAATTATTGTAAAAATCATAATAGCAGTTGGTATTTTAGTCAACCATGAAAAAAACACACAAAAACATATCTAAGATGATGTGTCAACTCAACCCAACTCAATAAGTATACTCATCAACCAGTGTTTATTTGTTAACGCTACTGATTTTTGAACCCAATTACGTCATCAAAATGACGGAAAGGCACATTAGCAATTTACGGGGATTATAATAATAACTAAAAAGATTTTGTCCACCCATCCGGAAATTGTTTAACAACAGTATCGCAGCTCAACTCGCTAACCAGTGCGCCTTCCGGCATTTTTAAGTAAATTATTACTTTGTCGCAGTCATTGCATTGTTATATAAAATTTGTATTTATCTTAACTGAAAACGCAGTCAGGCTGATTTTTTTGAGCATTTAAATATCTTTCAAAACCATTATTAATAAACGTTTCGTATTTTTT